TGAAAATTGGTAGAATGACGGGTATTTATATGCTTTACTATTTTATATAACCCGTTTATTTTTCAGAGTAATAATGGTTGAGATACAAATGGTTTATATTGATATAATAAATTATACGCAAAAAAACCGGTCTGGATCGGTCTGAACCGGTATCATGGACCGCAAAAGACCGGTCCTAGGTGGTTCGGTTCGGTTCCCTCAATATTTGGGTCGGTCCTGGACCGGTTGCGGTCCACGGTTGCGCGTTTTCGGGGCAAAAAACCGGACTGAACTGAACCTTTAAACACTATTTATTGGTGTTAGACCCTGATTGTATGAACCCACTCTATGGGCACATGCTGCGAGAGAACATTCAAGTATGGTTCACCGATTTTCAGAACATGGGATGACAAGCCATGCAGGGGATTCACATGGTGCACACCCAATCAGCCTATTTGGGCATTTACTCAGGTTGGAATTGGGATGCACCCCCCCCCCCAGGATATTTTAAACCTCAAATTTCCAAACCAATTGGAGGACCTGAGGGTGTGCAGTCATTTTTCTCAATATTTTTAATTACTCATGAAAAGATAGATCATGTCAATTCTGCCTCATACACCATTCATTCTGCATTTAGTTCCTCTGTCAGTGAGTCTTCCAGCAAGAGCGGCAGTGGGAGCATCACACATGACAAAGACACTGCTATGGAAGAAGCTGAGCATGGTAGGTAGTATTTAGAAGTCCGGTCTCATGACTGGAAAAAAACCATAACCAGACCGGACCAAGACCACAAAAGACCAGACCTGCGGTTACAGTCTTTTATTTTTGAGATGTTAAGACCGCAGAAAAACCGGTTAACGTGAACCGGTTTGGACCGGTCTTTTGTAGACCCTTAAATACCCTTTAAAACGCACCCAAGAACATACAATTTGGTAAAGAATTGAGAGAGATATGAATTAAATTGTAAAATATTTTTGGAAATAGTAGATGTACCAGATTTATTGTATAGAAACACCAATTCCTAACCGAATTTAACGTTCTTGGGCTCGTTTTAAAGCCAGTAGACATGTTAATAAATTTACCCATTCATAATTTTAAAATATTAGCCTAAAGACCGGTCATAGACCGGTTAAAACTGGTGCAGACCGAAACTGGTCTAAAGACCGCAAAAAGACCGCAGACCACGGTCTTTTGTGGTCCAGTCTGGTCTTTTTGACTTCTGGGAAAAGGGTAGACTGGTTACGGTCACGGTTAAAGCCCCTGGGTGTCAAAAGACCGGACCAGACCAGACTTTCAAACACTAATGGCAGGAAGTCAAAATTTTAACTGAGAAGACTGAAGCTCAAGACTTGTTAGTGAATAGGTCCCTGGTATGGGAACAAGGAATAACAAGATAATGAGATAATAGAAAGTAGGGATGGAGAAACAAGGTATCATGGTGAGGGGTCTGTCTTGNG